GGCTCAGTGGGGAGCCTGCTTCTCCCTCTGACCCTCCCCTCTCTCATGCTGTTTCTCTCTCGCTTGCTCTCTAATAAATAAATAAATAAAATCTTTAAAAAAAAAAAAGAAGAAGAAGAAGTGGTGTGTGTGTGTATGTGTGTGTGTGTGTGTGTGTATGTTTGTGATGGAATATTATTCAGCCATGAGAAATAATGAAGTCTTGTGGTTTGCTACCAACATGGACGGAGCTAGAGAGTGTAATGCTAAGTGAAATAAGTCAAAGAAAGACAAATACCACATGATTTCACTCATGTGTAATTTAGGAAATAAAGTAAAGGGAAAAAAGAGAGAGAGAAACTATGAAACGGATTTTTAACTATTGAGAATAGAATGGTGGTTACCAGAGAGGAGGAGGGTGGGGGGATGGGTGAAATAGGTGATGGAAATTAAGGAGTCCACTTGTCATGATGAGCACCAGGTGATATATGAAATTGTCAAATTACTATATTGGACACCTGAATTTAATATGACACTGTGTTAACTATACTGGAATTAAAACAAAATTAAAAAAAATAAAAATATCTGATTATAAAAGTAACATATATGTTCTATGGAATTTTGAAAAAACATGGAAAATTATAAAATAAATGCCATTCATAGATAAGTCGCCATTACTTTTTTGATATACCTTCTAATATTTTCCTGTGCTTATAAAAACATATCTATTGATATTTTTGTGATCATGTGGTTTTTGCAGGTTTGTATCATACTGTTTTTATTTACCATTATATCAATTTTCCCATGCCATTGTAATGTTATAAACTTGCTGATTATAAAATATTACATGGATTTGGCATAATTTATTTATCTTATCTTCTATTGTTTGAACATTTAGTTTGTTTTCATTATTTTTAAATGTAAATCGTGTTGCAATGAATAAATGCTTATATTTTATTTGGATTACCATCTCAGGGGACAATCCTAGAAGTTCGATTATTGGGTATTAATTTCTTGTTTTCTCTGAGAATATTAATACATGCTAATCCCAAGTCAAAAATATAAAAAAAAAATACTGAAAGCATTAAGGGCAACGTTACAGACAAATCTAGAACAAAAGAACATTCTACAAGGTCTAGTCTCTTCAAAAAGTCAATGCTATAGGGAAAAAAATAGGGACAACACAAAAAGCAAATCTTGTCTGATCCAGGTTATTTAAAAAAATAGCCTTAAGAGATATTTTTGGGCCTCTGAGTGGCTAAGTCTGCTTGTCCCTCTCTCTCACTCTCTGCCCCTCCTCTCTCTCTCTCAAAATTAGTATGTAAAATCTTCTTAAAAAAGAGACATTCTGGAGATGATTGGAAAATTTCTGATATAGACTACATGTTAGATGATATTAGGATATTTTCTTAGATGTAGTAATGTTATTGTGGCAATATAGGACAAAGTTACTGCTGTATTTAGAAGTAAGATACCATCATGCTTCCAAATGATTTAGCAAAAGCAAACAATCAAAAACTCTGTGTGTGTGTGTGTGTGTGTGTAGATATACACAGACATAGATGTAGATAAATTAAAGATGGAAAAATGTTAACAAACAACTCCAGTTGGTAGGATGATTATTGTACTATCTATCCTTTAAAG